CAGGAGGTGATGGGAAAGACCTCAGCCTGAGACCCTGGAGAGCCATAGGGAGGGGCTGTGGCTCAGTTGGCAGAGCCTCCGCTTGGCACACGGAAGGTCCCAGGTTCAGTCCCCGGCATCTCCAGCTGAAAGGACCAGACAGGAGGTGATGGGAAAGACCTTTGCCTGAGACCCTGGAGAGACAGAGACAGGGGCTGTGGCTCAGTTGGCAGAGCATCTGCTTGGCATGCAGAAGGTCCCTGGGTCAATCCCCGGCATCACCAGTTAAAAGGACCAGGCGGGAGGTGATGGGAAAGACCTCCACCTGAGACCCTGGAGAGCCATAGGGAGGGGCTGTGGCTCAGTTGGTAGAGCCTTTGCTTGGCATGCCGAAGGTCCCAGGTTCAATCCTTGGCATCTCCAGTTGAAAGGATCAGGCAGGAGGTGACGGGAAAGACCCCGGAGAACAGCTGCCAGTCTGAGGAGGCAGTACTGAATTTACATAAGAAGAAGAGGCATGCTGGGTGAGAGCAAAAGTCCATCAAGTCCTTGTGGCTAAGAGCCACTCGTGGAACTCTGCTCCATAAGTTTATCCAGTCCCCTCCTGCAGCTGTCTCTCCTTGTAGCTGCCACCACGTCCTGCAGCAGAGAATTCCACATGTGGGGAAAGAAGGTTTTCCTTCTCACTGTTCCAAGCCTGCTGCTCATTCATTTCATGGAGTGCCCACAAGTTCTTGTATTGTGAGAAAGGGAGAAAAGGACTTCTCTCTCCTCTTTTTTGTCTGCTGGCACACACACTGAACAATTTGACTCGTATCCTAAATGCCGATCCAGGCTCAGTTCAGATTTCCAAGAAGCGGCTGAAAGTGCAAGAGGTATATATAACAATATTATAGCACTGCTAAAAGTGCAGAGACGGGCAACTCGAATGATCAAAGGGTTGGAACACTTTCGCTATGAAAAAAGGTTAAAGCACTTGGGGCTTTTTAGCTTGGAGAAACGACGGCTGAGGGGTGACATGATCGAGGTTTATAAGATTATGCATGGGGTAGAGCAGGTTGAGAAAGAGGTACTTTTCTTCCTTTCTCACAATGCAAGAATTCGTGGGCACTCAATGAAATTGCTGAGCAGTCAGGTTAGAACAGATAAAAGGAAGTCCTTCTTCACCCAAAGAGTGATTAACACATGGAATTCACTGCCACAGGAGGTGGTGGTGACTACAAGCATGGACGGCTTCAAGAGGGAACTAGATAAATATATGGAGCAGAGGTCCATCGGTGGCTGTTAGCCATAAGGTCTAGATAGGGACTCTGGGGCAAGGAATGCTCTGTATTCTTGGTGCTTTTTTGGGGGGGGGCAACAGTGGGAGGGCTTCTAGTGTCCTGGCCCCACTGCTGGACCTCCTGATGGCACCTGGTATTTTTGGCCACTGTGTGACACAGAGTGTTGGACCGGATGGGCCATTGGCGTGATCCAATCTTGGCTTCTCTTATGTTCTTTCTTTCTTTCCCCCTTGCTCCAGGTTTGCTGGACGTAAGCATAAGGTACCGGTGCTCCCTCAAAGCGGCCGAAGGAGTCCTGGCAGCTCAGGCTGTTTCTGTTTCCGTTCAAATCCACCGAGCAGCCGGTTTGCAAGCAGCTGCCAGGTAAGGAGGAGACAGAGGCTCCGAGAGGTGGTTTCTCACCAAACTGCTCTTGTGGGGGGGGGGGAGCCCTGCAACTCCTTTTTTTATTTATTTAAAGGATATAAAAACTTTATTTTCACATATTTGTAAGAGGTATATATAACAATACAAGGTGAAACTTATGTAATTAATGATGAGTTAAGGTGTGGTGCACTGCTTATTTGGGCGGGACTGTTTTCACTTTAAAATTATATTCTGTGTTTATAAACTGGGTAGTTTCTGCTGCCACCAGGAATTTTAAGAAATTCCAAATCTATCTGTTTCTGCTGTTAGTAATGTGACCCAGGGTCTGGGCTTTCTAAGGTCTCTGTGGCCCTGAGGAAGGATTGAACTGAATTCTGGATTAAATTTAAACAAAATATGATTTATTGATTAAGAAACAAAAAATAAGGTTATCTGGGGGAAAGGAACTGGTAAATAAACTGGCAAGCTATCACACAGTGGGTGCGTTCAGACGGGGCGTTTCAGCCGGCATAAACTGTACCGGTTGGAACCGGTGCAATTTATGCCAGCTGAAACGTGATCACACTCACCTCCTGACTGTGCAGCACATCGCAATACGCCCGTCCACACACAGCGGGCATCGGCGGTTTGTTTGTGGGGTTTTTTTTACTTAGTTTGCACATGCGCATAGGCAGCCATCCACAGAATGGCAATCTTCACACATGCGCAAAAAACCCCTGTCTTACATTTAAACTTTAAAGGTAAGGACTTACCTTTAAAGTTTAAAGAGCAAAGTAGCCTCTCTGAGGTCCCAGACGCCTCCGAAACGCTAAACTAAGGCCCTTTTCTTTTTTTAAAAAACAAACTCCAGGGCGAAGCTTCGCCCAAGCAAGCGCATATCGCTGACCTTTAAAAAAAATGGCGGGCGAAAATCAGAAGCCTCAGGCCTGAGTGCCGCATGACGGAGTGAATCTCTAGTTCCAGCTCCTGCCAATCTAGCAGTTTGCAAGCAAGATATTGCAAGTAGATAAATAGGTACGCTTTGGTAGGAATGTAACAGTGTTCCATGCGCCTCGGCGTTTAGTCATGCGGGCCACATGACCACGGAAACGTCTTCGGACAGCGCTGGCTCTTCAGCTTGGAAACGGAGATGAGCACCGCAACCCTAGAGTCGGACTCAACTGGCTTTCGAGCAACGGAACCTTTACCTTTAGCCATGTTAGTCTGTCTGCAGCCATAGAGAAGAGCAAGAGTCCACTGACACCTTAAAGATGAAGAGAAGAGAGAAGAGATTGGATTTATACAACACCCTTCACTACTTGAAGGAGTCTCAGAGAGCAGCTTACAGTTGCCAAAACATACATACTTACTGAAATGCAAACTTAATGAATCTCCTTAAACCAGTTTTCCAAATCCAATCGCCCCACTGACATTTTTTCTTTCTACCAAACCAGCTTCTACAATAATAGTAGAGGTTAGTACTCAGCATTCATCATTATGAAGTGACAACCTGGAGTAACAGTATTCTGAAACCACTTACATCACTACATAATATCCTATTTTACATTTTTACTTCTAGAACAATATTTTTAATGAAACTGGCGGGTAAACCAAAGGAAGGGAAACTGGCCTGAAATAACATACTAAGAGAGCCAGTTTGGTGTAGTGGTTAAGTGCGTGGACTCTAATCTGGGAGAACCGGGTTTGATTCCCCACTCCTCCACTTGCACCTGCTGATGTGACCTTGGGTCAGTCACAAGCTCTGGCACAGCTGTTCCTGAAAAAGAGCAGTTTCTGTCAGAGCTCTCTCAGCCCCACCCACCTCACAGGGTGTCTGTTGTGGGAAGGGGAAGGGAAAGGAGTTTGTAAGCCGCTCTGAGACTCCAAGTGAAGGGCGGGGTATAAATCCAATCTCTTCTTCTTCTTCTAAGGTCCCGGTCACACGGGCCGGATATCGCGGGGGGGGGGAGGCGTGGCTAATTGCCCCGGCGCAGTTTGATCCGTGATTACGCGATCAGACACACCGGCGGCACACCATGGGTCCTTCCCTCGGCGCTGGTGGGTAAACGAGGGACCGGAGGGGAATGCCGCGCGCCAGCACGATCACACCACGGGAGTCTGGAGGCAACCTGTGGCAAACGTTTACCAGTACCTTGGAGGTACTAGTTTTTTAACGCGTATTGTTGGCGGTAAGCCACGGGTGCGCTCCACTTCCCAGATGTTGGGGTGTGATCGCGCCCGGATAATCCGCCCACCATCCGTGCCTCTCCCGCGGCAACTTTGCCGTGTGACCGGGGCCTTACAAGCACTTTACAGAATTTTACAACAACTTAAATCAAAGTCAGTGTTCAAACCATTGGGGATCAAAGTGTTTAACTTAAAGATCCACCTGTGTTCCTGGCGAAGTAATTCCTTTGTAGCCAATGGACGTTTTGAGTCTGCAACAAAGAGCCCACCACATCCAAATTGATCTTCTTTATGGTCTGTGAGTGGTCCAAATGCTCTGTGAGTGGGCCAACATCTGATTGGCCGCTATCGGAAAGAGGAAGCTTCAGTCTGATCCAGCAGGGCAGGTCTTGCGTTCTTACGTTACAGCATAATCACTCCCTGTCTGTTCTCTTTGCTTAGGGCCTTGGCTGAGAAGAACCCTTCGCTGCAATACAGCGCAGATGTTGGAGTAAACGCCTACGTGACGGTGTACCTCCCTTTCCTCCCCGAAGGGGAGAGACGCAGCACGCGAGCCGTGGCACGTACCTTCTGCCCGGAATTCGAGCACCACACCGAGTTCCCGTGCAATCTCGTGGTCCAGAGGAGCAGCGGCGAAGCGTGTTGTCTGGGGGAGCTCTTGCAGTATTCCGAGGCTGTCTTCTCCGTCTTCCACCAGAACCTGAATTCAGGTGGGCAACGGGAAGGCGGTAGGCCGAGCTAACAATGACCTCTAAGGAGAGGCCGTGACTCAGTTGGAAGAGCATCTGCTTGGCATGCCCCAGGTTCAATCCCCGGCATTTACTGGGCCCCTTGATTTGCCATATGGACACCTGGACCTGCCTTATACCAAACCAGGAAAAATAATGGCTGCACCAATGAGCAGAGAGAACAAGAAAGAACAAGATGCGAGGCGAAGAGTTCATTCAGCTCTTCTGGATCCCTCACTGTAAGCTTGGGCGTCAGGGGGTGTCATGGCTCAGGTGGGGTGTCACCTGACGCTGCCACCACTCTGGATTTAGGATCCCTTGAGAAGGCCCAGAGCACCCTCCCAAGACCTTCTGACCTCCCTTTTGGCCGAATAATAGGCGTGAGGACCAGGCAGAGTACAACAAGGAAAAGGTTTATTTTATAGGAAGTCAAACAAACAGGGTGCAGGATAACAGTAAGTGGGTGAAAAGAAAAGAAATCAAATGCCCTAACGTGTCTAAAGATATACTGTCCCTCGCTCACTATTCCAAGTGGCACTAGACTACTCACCCTTCCCTCAGGATGAGGGTCTCTTCCCTGCAGCAGCCTCAGTCCCTTCTGGCTCTGCCCTCTGGGAAGAAGAACAGCTTTTCCTGCTGCTCCAGGTCTTTTATTCCAAGCCCTCCTCTTTTCCTATTGGTCAGTTTTGGCTCCAAAACCTCTCAGGGGCTTCTGGGAGTTGTAGGCCCAGCCCCACCTACTGCTAGCCAGGCTCCCTGGGCCTAGTAGGCCTCTGGTGGCACAGCCCAGATCACGACAGGGGGGGTCTTCTGTAAACGTTTTCCAGCTTCCACCTTGAACAGAGAAATGCACAGGGCATCTATAAGCACCGGATAAACCCTTTCCCTTGTTCTTTCTTGTCCTTCATGCCAAACCAGACCATCGGTCCATCAAAGTCAGTCTTGTCTACTCAAGACTGATGTCAAGTCTCCAGAGTCTCAGGCAGCGGTCTTCCACCTCACCTACTGCCCGGTCTGTGCTACTGCAGATGCCAGGGAGTGAACCTTGTGCCAGTTTGAGCCTGGGTCTCCCAGGTCCCAATTCAACAGTTAGCCAGATTGCCTTATCTCTCCTTATATTATATATAATTGAATAGTGGGTGCCAAAGTTCTAATTCTGAAATGCACTCCCTTAGTGTATGGCTGATGGCACTGCTCCTAAGCATATATCGCCACCAATCAGAAGGCAAAGCCCGGGTCCCGCCCACACCACAACTGCTGCGACAACCTGGTCTTTTGCATATGGAAGCTGATTGGACTTCAGTCCATTCCACACCTCCGCCCCCCCCCCCCGCAAGGCAGTTGGGATTTTCAGTTGCATAACACACCTCATAGGGGAGAGGAGAATGGGTAACAATGGTTACCACTCTCCAGGTGAGGGCTACAGATAACTCAAACATACAAATGTTCTTCAGGTAGCAGAGATCAGTCCCTCTGGAGAAAACAGTGGACTCTGTCATTAAACCCTGCTGAGGTCGCCACAGGAAACTGACACTGTTTGCCCAAAGCCAGAGCACTCTCCCAGAGCCTCTTTCTAGATCCCGTTGTATTTATTTCCGCAACGGGCATTATTTCTAGTTTCTTAATAAAAGAGTGGGGAATTTAAATATTAAATGGCAATGTGCTTAATTATGGGACCGATAACCTGTGTATATCGGAGTCCTATTTATCCAGATCCCCAGAAATAGACAGGCAGACTAGATCTTAAATAAAATGGTTTCTTTACTGAATAATTTCACACTCTCCTACAAATAAACAACCACACTCTAATGATACAGAGCTAGGGATTTAGATAGAGAGGTACAGAGACTGTCGCATTAGCAGGACAATATCGATGAGGGGTGATAATTTACCACTCTAACGCGGCGAGTTGATTCTGCAGCGGAAAATGGGGAAAATACTAGGGCAGGGGTCTGCAACCTGCGGCTCCGGAGCCGCATGCGGCTCTTTGGAACGTTTGCCGCGGCTCCGGGAGGCAAACTTATTATTTATTATTTCTTTGTTTGAAACTCCTCCCCCTCGCACGCAGGCGGCCTGGCTAATACAGTGCCTGGTGATAGCTAGTACAGTGCCTACAGATAGCAGCTTCATGTATCCCAGCAGCCCTTGCGAGTCGCCGAATGACGAAATCTCGCAGCTGCGCTTTGGGATGTCTGCGCGCCGCTCTGCCTTCGCCCCGCCTCCTCTCAGTGAGCTTTACGGGATGTAATGCTTTTAGTCCGATAGGAGGCAGGGCGGGGCGGAGGCGAAGCGCAGACATCCCAAAGCGCAGTTGCGAGATTTCGTCATTTGGCGACTCGTAAGGGCTGCTGGGATACATGAAGCTGCTATCTGTAGGCACTGTACTAGCTATCACGAGGCACTGCACTAGCCAGGCCGCCTGCGTGCGAGGGGGAGGAGTGATGGAGCCGGTGCCAGCCTAAGCAGCACTGCGCGGGTGAGCAGCACTGCGCAGGAGTGAAGAACATACACAACTGCGATGGAGTGAAGAACACACATACACACACAAAAAAGGTAACTTGTTAATTTATTTCTAGAAAGGAGGAGTAATTCAGAGGGGGTCAAACAAAGAAATAATAAAAAAGTGACAAAAAAGTTATTTTATAACGACGAGGATGACATTATTAATTATTATTTTCATCAGGCACTGATTATGATTTATGGTGCACTGGAGCCCTGAATAATTTTCTATGGCACTTTGGGGCAGTAATTAGTTTTGTATGGCACATTGGGGGCATTTTTATTGGCTGTGTAATATGCTGTTCAATTGCATTTTTTTTTTGGTTGGAGTAGGTTGGTAAGTAAGGGATCCATGGGGGTGGCTGGAGCTTGAGGGGGGTGGGTATAGCAAATTTTGCTATGGGGCCCTGTGATTTCTAATTACGTCCCTGTTATGCAATATATAATACAATATATATGCAGTGTTATATTTGTTTTAAATGTCGCAATGGTTTTACGGCTCCCGGGTTTTTTTTTCCGTCGGAAACGGGTCCAAGTGGCTCTTTATGTCTTAAAGGTTGCAGACCCCTGTACTAGGGAAACCAAGTCTACATGCATGTGATAGAGCAGGTAGAGGAAGAAGTCCTTTTCTCCCTTTCTCACAAGACAAGAACTCCTTGTGGGCATTCCATAAAATTGCTGAGCAGTCGGGTTAGAACAGACAAAAGGAAGTCCTTCTTCACCCAAAGGGTGATTCACACATGGAATTCACGGCCACAGGAGGTGATGGTGGCTACTAGCATGGACGGCTTCAAGAGGGAATTGGATAAACTTCTGGAGCAGAGGTCCATCAGTGGCTATTAGCCACAAAGTATAGATAGGAAATCTCAGTCTGGGGCAAGGAATGAATGGCAAAATGTTTCTTCTTGATCTTTGTAGCTCCCAGAACGTCACAGGGTCAGGCTTCAAGGGATTACCTCCTGGGAACCGTCAAAGTGCCAACCAGAGAGCTGTTAATGAGAAGATCAGGTAAAGATTGTGTCGTATTCCCCTTTTCAACTTGAGTGAATTGTGCATGGAATTGCTTTGCGTTATGATTAACGGCAGGGGTCCCCAACGTGTGGCACCTGTGGGCGCCATGGCAGCCGCCAACCCCTTTCCCGGCACCCAGTTTGGTGTTGTGGTTAAGTGCGCAGACTCTAATCTGGGAGAACCGGGTTTGTTTCCCCACTCCTCCACTCGCAGCTGCTGGATGACCTTGGGCAAGCCATAGTTCTGACAAGAGCTCTCTCAGCCCCACCTACCTCACAGGGTGTCTGTTGTGGGGAGGGGAAGGGAAAGGAGTTTGTAAGCCGCTCTGAGACTCCTTTGGGTAGTGAAGGGAAGAGTATAAATCCAATCTTTTCTTCTCTTCTTCTTCTTCTCTATTCTGGGAGAACCGGGTCTGATTCCCCACTCCTCCACTTGCACCTGGCTGGATGACCTTGGGCAAGCCATAGTTCTGATAAGAGCTGTTCTTGAAAAATAGCAGTTTCTGTCGGAGCTATCTCAGCCCTGCCTACCTCACAGGGTGTCTGTTGTGGGGAGGGGGAGGGGAAGGGGAAGGAGTTTGTAAGCCGCTCTGAGACACCTTTAGGTAAGGGCGGGGTATAAATCCAATCTCTTCTTCTTCTTTTACCTCACAGGGTGTCTGTTGTGGGGAGGGGAAGGGAAAAGGAGTTTGAAAGCCACTTTGAGACTCCTTTGGGTAGTGAATGGCGGGGTACAAATCCAATCTCCTCCTCCTCCTCCTCCTCTTCTTCTTTTGCTGCTGCTGCTGCTGCAAGGTCTGTTTAAATAAGCCTAAACTCCCTGATGCAGTGTGAGGCAGACAAGAAAAGGACTCTCCATGGTTAATTAGACGTTCCCCCCCCCAAAAAAAAAATTCCCGCTTGACCCCGAAGCAACCGGCTTATCCCATACTATAGTGCTTTATTCCTTTCCTGTGAGACTTCTTATATGTAACGTCTGTAAAGGCACCTCCACTGTCGAGTTCTGAAGTGACATGTGTTGTGTTGCCTTCATACCTTCCTTATTGTTCCCTGCGTATTTTCACTGCCACTAAAGTTTCTTGCCTTAGAATTCTTAGTGGGACCTGAAGAACAAGATGGCTTAGTTATAATTAGTAGAATGACAGAACAGTCAGCTTGGGGTGGCTCTGAGGTAAGAAAGGGATCCTTAGTCAAAACAGTTGTTTCCTCTTAAACACAAAAAGGGTTTATTTAGAAGTATAACACTGTAACGGTTTTGTTATAGTGTTCCAGACAGAACACACATTTCTCTCATACTTCACACTTTTTCCCCACTCAGCTCTACTGACTGTTTCTCTGCAAAGCCTCTCTGAACCAACCAGTCAACTGTGCCCCCTGCGGGTAATGACACCACACTTCAATCACCCATCCAACCACTCTCTTTCTTATTCTACAGGCCTGCATTTTAAACTACAACAACATACATATAAAACTCCACAGTAAAACATAGAAATAACACACACACAAAATGAGTTTAATAACTTCATCATTGTTTAACAGCTGAGTTAGTTAAATGATACCAGATTTGGTCTATGTCAGCTATTTGAAAGATTTGCCTGCAATTTTCCCTCCCCGCAAGCGGGCTCAGGGCGGCTTCCATAAAAACATAAATACATTAAAATACACAATATTGGACCAACAATAAAACATTATAAATACAAAGTGCTGGCGGCTGATTAAATTAATCGAGATGGTATATTACCGGAATAAATTTCCACTGCCCAGATGTTCCACGTTGTTTCTGCTCATAATCAGTTAGATGTTAAGACCACGGGCCAGGCTTGCTGTAACGGCCTGCAGTAGTATTATAAAAAATTTAAAAAATCCCCTCCGGGGGTCTTAAAAAAAAAAGGTTTTATACATTTTAGCGAATCCATCTGGGGTTCGATGCCATCTGTAAATCTTTCTGTGCTCTGTCGAAGGCATTAGAGGCTGGTACCCAGTAACCCTCCCGGAGGATCTGGTCCCTTCCCACGGCGCCAACGTCGTTCAAGCCGTCGTCGGAGGCCTGGAGCTTTCCGTGAGCTTCGCTCGCCCTGGGGACCGAGAACGTGTCCTGGACGCCGCTGCCCTCTTAGGCTGGAACTGGGAGGAGACCCTCGGGGAAAGCCCGCAGGACGACGACAGCGACTCTCCTCTCCCCCCGAATCCTGCCACGGTGACGGTTTCAATCCCCAGACTGTGGCTGCCGGTGCACTGCGTGTTGCCCGCGGGGCAGACACAGCTGCACAGAAGCACCCACGTCTACCTTCGCTATAAACTGTACGATCAGGAAGCCCGGTGGACGTCTCTCCGGAGGCCAAGGTTCGCGGAAGACCAGAGGCACGTGACGTTGGCCTTTAAGAGCAAGCGGGTGGACCTTCCAAGGAGCCCAGCGCTGTGGTGGTACTTCAGAGAGGAGAGGCTGGAGTTCCAGGTGTGGCGCGCTTACGGGAGCGAGAGGCACGCGGAAAGGCCGCTGGACACAGATCGCCTGATCGGGTCGGCGTACATGGACCTCGCAGCGCTTGGGGGGGATTCCAGAAGCGCGAGAACAGTCAGTGGTACGTTCCTTAGCAGCAGGGAGCTGTTAGGTCCTGTCCTGTGGCTTCTTCCCAGGCAGCCATCTGTCGCCCTCCCGTTGTAACCCCAGCATTTCTCACTGAACCGAAAAGTATTTTGTGCACCTGTCGGTCATAAGAACCGAAGCAGAGCCCTGCTGGACCAGACTGGTGGTCCATCTGGTCCAGCATCACGTCTCACACAGTGGCCGCCCAGTTCCTCTGGAGAGCCAGCAACAGGGCATAGAGGTTGAGGCCGTCTCCTGCTAAGAACCCAAGAAGAGTCCTGCCATCTAGTCCAGGGATCTGTCTCACACAGCAGCCAACCAGTTCCTCTGGAGGGCCAACAACAGGGCAGAGAGGCCGAGGCCTTCATAAGAATGTAAGAAGAGCCCTGCTGGATCAGACCAGTGCGGGTCCATCTAGTCCAGCATCCCGCCTCACACAGTGGCCAACCAGTACCTCTGGAGGGCCAACAACAGGGCAGAGAGGCCAAGGCCTTCCCCTGATAAGAACCTCAGAAGATCAGACCAGTGAGGGAGCTGCTGCCAGTCAGAGTAGGCAATACTGACCTTGACGGACCAATGGTCTCGTTCAGTATAAGGCAGCTTTGTATGTTCACAATAAGTATCGCAGATCGATGAAAACGGAAGCACTTTTCAATGTACCCTTTTAGGGGAGGGGCCATGGCTCAGTGGAAGAGCCTCTGCTTGGCACACAGAAGTTCCCAGGTTCAGTCCCCGGCATCTCCAGCTAAAAGGACCAGACAGGAGGTGATGGGAAAGACCTCCGCCTGAGACCCTGGAGAGCCAGAGACAGGGGCTGTGGCTCAGTGGCAGAGCCTCTGCTTGGCACACAGAAGGTCCCAGGTTCAGTCCCCGGCATCTCCCGCTGAAAGGACCAGGCAGGAGGTGATGTGGAAGACCTCCACCGGAGGCCCTGGAGAGCCGCTGCCAGCCTGAGTAGGCAATACTGATCTTGATGGCCCAAGGGTCTGATTCAGTAGAACGCAGCTTCATGTGTTTGGGGACGGGCTGTGTCTCCATAGTCGAGCCTCTGCTTGGCCAGCTCCATGGCATCTCCAGTTTAGAAAAAAGGACCAGGCAGTAGGTGATGTGAAAGATCTCTACCTGAGAGCTGCTGCCAGTCAGAGCAGGCAATACTGACCTTGACGGGCCAAGGGTCTCATTCCGTATAAGGCCGCTTTGTATGTTCGCAATAAGAATTGCAGATGGATGAAAACAGAAGCAGTTTTCAATGTACCCTTTTAGGGGAGGGGCCGTGGCTCAGTGGAAGAGCCTCTGCTTGGCACGCAGAAGTTCCCAGGTTCAATCCCCGGCGTCTCCAGTTTAAAGGACCAGGCAGGAGGTGATGTGAAAGACCTCAGTGGCTCAGAGACAGAGCATCTGCTTGGCACGCAGAAGTTCCCAGGTTCAATCCCCGGCGTCTCCAGTTTTAAAAAGGGACCAGGCAGTAGGTGATGTGAAAGACCTTCTGCCTGAGATCCTGAGGAGCAGCTGCCGGTCAGAGTAGACAATACTGACCTTGATGGTCTGATTTGGTGTAAGGCAGCTTCTTGTGTGTCCCGTGGCCCCGATCCACATAGACGAGGATTTCCAGAAACCAGACTTGACCGGCTGAAGTGTATAAAGGTAAAGGTTTCCCCTTGCTCGAAAGCCAGTCGAATCCGACTCTAGGGTTGCGGTGCTCATCTCCGTTTCAAAGCCGAAGAGCCAGCGCTGTCTGAAGACGTTTCCGCAGTCATGTGGCCGGCATGACTAGACGCCGAGGCGCACGGAACGCTGTTACCCTCCCACCGAAGTGGTACCTATTTATTTACTTGCAATTTCTTGCTTTCGAACTGCTCGGTTGGGACGAGAAGTGTATAAAACACTGCTGCTTTCTCGGATACACCATGCTGTTGCTCTGCCGTCTGGTCCTTGCAGGCATCTACCCCCTGTTCCGGCGCAACGCCTCAAACCTGTCGGGAGCCGCCGTGCGAATTCATATCGCGCTCGCACCCGCCACCCCCCACGGCCTCGAGCCCGCCGAACACGGCGGCGGCAGCAGCAGCGAGTGCGAAGACGGGAGGGAGGCGCCCGCGACCAGCCAGCAAGACTTGGACTCTCAGCACCGCAAGCCGGATTCCTCCGCCGTGGGGACCCCCGCTGAGAAACCCCCCGAGGCGTCTCCTGCTGCGGTTGATCCCCACAAGACGTTTGCTGTCAGCATTCTCGTGGAAAGAGCCATGCACTTGAGCCTGAAAGGTAAGGAGAGCGAAAATTTCTTGGGCTGCAGAAGGACATGTGAGCAGGGCTATTTTTGGTCAGGAACGCACAGGAACGGAGTTCCGGCTGGCTCCCGAGTTGGCCACACCCAACAGCAGAAACTCATTCGGATTGGCTACATTAGGGGTGTGTGGCCTAACATGCAAAGGAGTCCCTGCTACAAAAAAAGGTCCTGGGTTTTGACAACAAACAAGGTAAACAGAATAACAAGCAAAAGGTGGGTGTGGCTGGATGAGCACACTTCTGGTAACATGGGGGTGTGGCCTAATGTGCCAATGAGCGGTGCTGTCAGGGGTGTGGCCTAATATGCTAATGAGTTCCTGCTGTTGGGTGTGGCCTATTATGCTAAAGAGTTCCTGCTGGGCTTTTTCTACAAAAAAAGCCCTGCATGTGAGTGTTATGTGCCGTCAGGTCCCTTCCGACTTACGGGGACACTGTGAATTACTGTCCTCCAGAAGGTCTGGTTGTTAACAGCCTTGCTCAGACCTTGCAAACGGAGGGGCCCCCGTGGCTTCCTTGGTTGGGTGAGTCGATCTCAGGTCGGGTCTTCCTCTTTTCCTGCCGCCTTCAACGTCTCCTAACATTGTTGTCCTTTCCAGTGACTCCTGTCTGTAGTTTGGTGCAGTGGTTAAGTTCGCAGACTCTAATCGGGGAGAACCGGATTTGATTCCCTTTTCCTCCACTTGCAGCTGCTGGAGGACCTTGGGCAAGCCGTAGTTCCGGCACAGCTGTCCTTGAACACGAGCAGTTATGTTAAGAGCTCTCTCAGCCCCACCCACCTCACAGGGTGTCTGTTGTGGGGAGGGGAAGGGAAAGGAGGTTGTCAGCCGCTCTGAGACACCTTTGGGTACTGAAAGGTGGGGTATAAATCCAATCTCTTCTTCCAGTTTCGTGTAGTGGTTAAGTGCACGGACTCTAATCTGGGAGAACCGGGTTTGATTCCCCACTCCTCCACTTACAGCTGCTGGATGACCTGGGGCAAGCCACAGGTCTGACAAGGGCTGTCCTTGAAAGGGCAGTTCTGTCAGAGTTCTCTCAGCCCCGCCTACCTCACAGGGTGTCTGTTGTGGGGAGACTCCAAGTGAAGGGCGGGGTATATATCCAATCTCCTCCTCCTCCTCCTCCTTCTTCTGTGACCAAAGTACAATGGCCTCAGTCTAGTCATTGTGGCTTCTAGTATTATATTTAAAGTTGCTGCCCAAGTTCATCCATTCACAAGCAAAGTAGTCTCTCTCTCTCTCTCTCTCTCTCTCTCTCTCTCTCTCTCTCTCTGTGTGTGTTTGTGTGTGTGTGTGTTTGGTGGTTAGGAGCACAGGCTCTAATCTGGAGTTAGAGAGCCAGTTTGGTGTAGTGGCTAAGTGCGCGGACTCTAATCTGGGAGAACCGGGTTTGATTCCCCACTCCTCCACTTGCAGCTGGTGGGTGACCTTGGGCAAGCCACAGTTCTTGCAGAGCTGTTCTCTCAGGAGCAGTTCTCGGATGAGCTCTCTCAGCCCCACCTACCTCACAGGGTGTCTGTTGTGGGGAGAGGAAGGGAAGGAGATTGGAAGCCTCTCTGAGACTCCGAGTGAGGCGCCACACGAGATGGACTGATTCAGTCAAGGAAGCCACAGCCCTCAGTTTGCATGTCCGGAACAAGACTGTTAACAATCAGACGTTTTGGAGAAGGAGAAGAAGAAGAGTTTGGATTTATACCCCGCCCTTCACTACCCAAAGGAGTCTCAGAGCGGCTTACAAACTCCTTTCCCTCCCCCTCCCCACAACAGACACCCTGTGAGGTAAAAGAAGAAGAAGAAGAGATTGGATTTATACCACGCCCTTCACTACCCAAAGGGGTCTCAGAGCAGCTGACAAACTCCTTTCCCTCCCCCTCTCCACAACAGACACCCTGTGAGGTAAAAGAAGAAGAAGAAGAGATTGGATTTATACCCCGCCCTTCACTACCCAAAGGGGTCTCAGAGCGGCTTACAAACTCCTTTCCCTCCCCCTCCCCACAACAGACACCCTGTGAGGTAAAAGAAGAAGAAGAAGAGATTGGATTTATACCACGCCCTTCACTACCCAAAGGGGTCTCAGAGCGGCTCACAAACTCCTTTCCCTTCCCCTCCCCACCACAGACACCCTGTGAGGTAAAAGAAGAAGAAGAAGAGATTGGATTTATACCCCGCCCTTCACTCCCCAAAGGAGTCTCAGAGCGGCTGACAAACTCCTTTCCCTTCCCCTCCCCACAACAGACACCCTGTGAGGTAGGTGGGACTGAGAGAGCTCTGACAGAAACGGCTCTTTTTTCATGGACAGCCCTTATCAGAACTATGGCTTGCCTGAGGTCATCCAGCCAGGTGCAAGTGGAGGAGTGGGGAATCAAACCTGGTTCTCCCAGATTAGAGTCCGCGCACTTAACCACTGCACCAAACTGGCTCTCATAGGGTGGCCATGAGTCAGAAGGGACAAGGGGGAGGAGGATTTCTACCCCGCCCTTCACTTCTAGCCCTGGTAGATCATGTGTTTTTAGGAAGTGGGCCAGGTAGAGACTTGATGGGCTGTGCAGATTTTTTTTAAAGCTACTTTGGCAGCAGCTCCCACCACCGCACAGGGATCTTCACGCTCTGACCGCAGGTCAGCTAAGGCAGCCGTCCTGCAGCAGCCGTTTTGTGGCTGCACCCAGAGGGTGTCTGTTGTGGGGAGGGGAAGGGCAGAAAGACATACAGAGGTGGCTTGTCGTTGCCTGCCTCTGCGTAGCCGCCCCGGCCTTCCTCGGTGGTCTCCCATCCCAGTACGAACGGGGGTTGATCCTTCTTAGCTTTCAAGATCTTGGTGAGATCAAGCCAGCCTGGGCCATCCAGGTCAGGGCAAAAGGCATACAGAGGTGGTTTGCCATGGCCCGCCTCTGCCTAGCAACCCTGGACTTCCTTGGTACTCTGCCATCAAAGTACTGACCAGAGCTGACCAGAGCTGACCTTGCTTGGCTTCCAAGATCTGATGAGATTGGGCTAGCCTGGACCACCACTTCCTTGGTGGTCTCCCCATCCAAGTGGTAACCAGGGCTGACTTGAGACCTGGCGAGACTGAGCTAGCCTGGGCCATCCAGATCAGGGCAAAAGCTATACAGAGGAGGTTTGCCATTGCCTGCCTCTGCGTAGCCACCCTGGACTTCCTTGGTGGTCTCCCCATCCAAGTGGTAACCAGGGCTGACTTGAGACCTGGCGAGACTGAGCTAGCCTGGGCCATCCAGGTCAGGGCCAAAGACATACAGAGGAGGTTTTGGCCATTGCCTACCTCTGCGTAGCAACCCTGGTCTTCCTTGGTGGTCTCCCATCCAAGTGCTGTTAACCAGGGCTGACTTGAGACCTGGTGAGACTGAGCTAGCCTAGGCAGGGGTCGTTTCGTAGAAAAAGAGCTAGGGGAACTCATTAGCATAATCCATTAGCATATGCCACACCCCCTGACATCACCGGAAGTGTGTCATAAGGCCACACACCCCGCCCCCAACGGTCCTGGCCGCTGGCACCGGCCTTGCAGCTCCACTGCCGAGCCCCATGAGGGGCCCGGCGGTGGACCTGCAAGGCCGGCGGGAGTGCGAGGAAGCCCCGCCAAGGCCCTCCCTGGCCCCAGGCAGGCAGGGGTGGGGAGAGGCAGGGAGGAAGCAACTTACCCTCCCTCTTCTCCTGCCTCCTCCTGGCTGAATGAGGGCCGGAAGCGGGGCGGCCAGAAGCAGGGGGCGGGGCTTCGTCATGTGCCCCGCCCCCCGTACCTCACCCGGGGGAACTGCGATCACCCGCGATCCCCCCTGAAATGACCTCTGAGCCTGGGCCACCCAGGTCGGGGCCAAAGACATACAGGGGTGGTTTTGCCATTGCCTGCCTCTGCATAGCAACCCTGGACTTCCTTGGTGGACTCCCATCCATGTACTAACCAGAGTCAGTCCTCCTTCCGATCAGGCAGGGGAGCTTGTGTATTAAGAGATCTCAGCTCAGTGAGCCTGGCAAGAAGGGGTGCCGGTCAGAACAAATCGCTCCCAGGAAGCCGCCTCCATCCAGAGACTCCTCGTTCTGACCTTGATTCGGGCCATGCTGTGCTCTGGATCGCCTCCTCCCCCCGGAAGCAGCCATGGGATTTACGTTCCACACGGTTTCCTCTCAGAAGCAGCCGTTCCCAGGGCTTGACCTTGCAGCTGGGCACAAAAGCACCCCCAGTGACTCCAGTCGAACAGCGGGACAAACTAGGTCACGGCTCCTTCACTTATTAGCTAATCTCTTTTCCGGCAGAGCACTTCCCTTGTTTTTGAAACAAACAGAGTAGAGTCCTGCTGCAGCCCGGGCACGGCCTTGGAGCCCCTTAAAAAAAATGGGGGGGGGGGGGTGAATGGCAGAGCTTCCACACACAGAGAGACCTACACAGTCATTGCAGAGCAAACAGCCTCTCTCTGACAGTTCTGCCTGGTGGAAAGGGCTGTCAAGTCACATGAAGCCATTGAGAGCTGACTATGCTCATGCTTACCTTGTAAATCTTTGCTGTTTATAAAAATGAATAAAAATTATCTGTTTAAAAAGTCACAGCCGCTTACAGTGAGCCCATGGAGTTTTCAAGGCAAGAGACATGCAGAGGTAGCTTGCCGTTGGCTGCCTCTGCTGGACTTCCTAGGTGGTCTCCCATCCAAACACTCACTAGGGCTGACCCTGCTTAGCTTCCAAGATCTGACGAGATTGGGCTAGCCTGGGCCATTCAGATCAGGGCAAAAGACACACAGAGGTGGTTTGCCTTTGCCTGCCTCTGCGTAGCAACCCGGGACTTCCCTAGTGGTCTCCTACCTAAGTACTAACCAGGGCTGACCCTGCTTAGCTTCCAAGATCTGATGAGATCGGGCTACCGTGGGCCATCTAGGTCAGGGCAGATGAACAGGGGTAGTTTGCCTTTGCCTGCCTCTGCGTAGCAACCCTGGAATTCCTTGGTGGTCTCCCATCCAAGTACTAACCAGGACCAACCCTGTTCAGCGTCTGAGATCTGACCAGATCGGGCTGGCCTGGGCCATCCAGATCATGACAAAAGACATACGGAGGTGGTTGGCCATTGCCTGCCTCTGCGTAACAACCCTGGACTAGCTTGGTGGTCTCCCATCCAAATACTAACCAGGACCAACCTTGTTCAGCTTCTAAGATCTGACCAGATCGGGCTGGCCTGGGCCATCCAGATCATGACAAAAGACATACGGAGGTGGTTGGCCATTGCCTGCCTCTGCTTAGCAACCCTGGACTTCCATCCAAATGCCAACCAGGGCTGACTTGAGGCCTGGTGAGACTGAGCTACCCTGGGCCATCTAGGTCAGGGCAAAAGACGTACAGGGGTGGGTTTGCCATTGCCTGCCTCTGCATAGCAACCCTGGACTTCCCTGGTGGTCTCCCATCCAAGGTCTAACCGGGGCCAACCTGGTTCTTAGCTTCTGCAATCTGACAAGATTGGGCAAGCTTGGGTCATCCAGATCAGGGGAGCTTTACCTAACACTTCCTAATGATCTCTCTTTGGGCATCATTTCACTAGATTTTCCAAAATGTGTAGCAGGGTTATTTTTTAAATGGAACACCGCAATCGTTGCTTTTGGCTAAGACAGTGGGATCAAGTGATATGTTTGCCACGTGCCCCTTGTTTTAGAGTGAATTAATGAATGATGTCTTATGGTCGAAGGCCAGTTCCGAAGAGCATACAATAGAAGCATTGATACATAAGAAATTACATAAATCATATTAAAATGAGTTAGTATAATTGTTTAGATTACTATAGAACAGCTGTAGGCTCTAAGAACATAAGGAGAGCCCTGCTGTACCATACCAGTGGTCTATCTAGTCCAGAATCCTGCCTCACACAGTGGCCAACCATGGTGACTAAAGGGAACCTCTATATTCAGAGGCACTAATCTTCTAAATCCCAAAGCCGGGAGGCAACATCAGGGGAAGGCCTCGGCCTCTGTGCCCTGCTGTTGGCCCTCCAGAGGAACTGGCTGGCCCCTGTGTGAGACGGGAGGCTGGACTGGATGGACCCTCCCTGGTCTGACCCAGCAGGGCTCTTCTGAGGTTCTTATCAGGGGAAGACGGGATGCAGGACTAGATGGACCCTCACTGGTCTGATCCAGCAGAGCTCTTCTGAGGTTCTTCTCAGGGGAGGGCCTCGGTCTCCCTGCCCTGTTGTTGGCCCTCCAGAGGAGCTGGCTGGCCCCTGTGTGAGACAGGAGGCTGGACTAGATGGACCCTCACTGGTCTGACTCAGCAGGGCTCTTCTTCTGTGATCACATAGCACAACTGCCAAATCTTTGTTGGATTGACTCTGTTCCAGGAAGCCCCCTCACCGAGCGCGGAGTGACAGCTCCCAACAGCTGCGTATCGTTCGTGACGGCTGACCCAGACAGCCCTGTTACCACTGAAATCGTGGAAAAAACCGATTCACCCGTTTGGGATTTTCAGCTGCAGACCAGGTATGGAACGTGGCCTTTTCTAGTGCAGTACTTTCAGAGCTGCACGGATTCGCTACCCACTGTGACAGAGTTCCCCAGAGGAAGAATGTCTCTGCTCTGGTCAGTGAGCAGGGCACGTTGTATTTACTTGACATATTGTAACTTTACCTGAAGGTGCAGTAGTTCAGAGCTCATCATTACCCTAGACCAAGGGTCCCCAACCTTTATGAGCCTGCAGGTATGTTATGGCTCAGGTGGGGTGTCACCTGACACCGCCACCACTCTGGATTTAGGATCCCTTGAGAAGGCCCAGAGCACCCTTTCGGGCCTTTAGACCTCCCTTTTAGCCGAAATGAGCATGAGGACCAGGCAGAGTGAACAAGGAAAATAGTTTATTTTATAGGAGGCCAAACAACAAGGTGCAGAATAATAACAGTGAGTGGGTGAAAAGAAAAAAAGTCAAATGCCCTTACGCATCTGAACATACTGCCCCCCCTAGCCCACTATCTCAAGTGGCCTTAGACTACTCACCCTTCCCTCAGGATGAGGGATTTCTTCCCCATAGCAGCCTCTCTATTGGCCCTGTTTCCTGGGAAGAAGAACAGCTTTCCCTCTTGTACCAGTTCTTTTATTCCCCAGGCCTCTTCTTCCCAGTTGGTCAGAATCGACGCCAAAACTTCACAAGGCCTTCTGGGGTTTGTAGGCCCAGGCTCCCTGGGCCTAGTAGGCCTCTGGTGGCACAGCCCGGATCATGACAACCTTTGGAATTCTGACACGGTGGGGGGGGGCACAGCCACAAATGGCCGCCGCAGCTTACCTTCAGTCACGCAGTGAAGATCCTTGTGCTGTGGTGGTAGCTGGCGCCAAGGGCGTTATTTTTCAAAATCTGCACAGCCTACCAGAAGCCTTGTTGGGGAAAACGGCCCACATGTCCCTGCCCACTTCCTAGAAACACTCGGTGGGCAGCAGAAAAGATGTCAGCAGGGGCCACTGTTCCTGGCCGCTTGGACAAGATGGAGTCCCTGGGTGAAGCTTTGTTATTTGTGTCTTATGCTCCCGAGACCAGGTTGCAAGAACAAGAGAGCCATCTTCCTTGTGTCCTGAACATTTATCTATTGGTTTTATTGATTTTTTCCCCGCCCATCTGACCTAGGCTGGCTCTGGGCAGCTTACAACAGAGTAAAAGTTTACACAATATGTAAAACACAGTTCATTACATTAATACAGTTTCTCATAATTATACAACGATATAAAACGATATGAAAATCAAACATGATGTTAAAGCGCTAGGGAATTCCAGTTTTACTTTAATTATGTTGGTCTGCTTCAGTTAGGGGAGGCTAAGACAAGGCAGTAGACGCCGGGATCCGCGGCTCAGGGCTACCGGTGTGGTTGTCAATTGTTGTTATTGTTATTTTAGTGTTACACACTAAAATAAAACAGTTCCAAACCCACCTGTAGCTGTAGAAAAGAGAAAGAGTCCAGGAGCACCTTCAAGACTAACCTTAAAGACTAATCTGAAGAAGTGTGCCTGCAGTTTGGTGTAGCCAGTTTGGTGTAGTGGTTAAGTGCGCGGACTCTAATCTGGGAGAACCGGGTTTGATTCCCCACTCCTCCACTTGCACCTGGCTGGATGACCTTGGGCAAGCCGTAGTTCTGACAAGGATATATTACAACAAACAGGACCACGGTGTATAATAGCTAGTAAAACAGTAAATCACCGTGTACAATTAAACAATATTTGTTGGGTTTTATATGCAATGTTTAGAATTCAATTATTAACAAAATTACAACAGTAACACTACAATATGCAGTATAAAGCTTAGCAGTACATACAGAGTAGTACAGTACTAGTTACAGACAAACGACGGAGTTCTAGTACACTATCCGTTTCCGTGTCCTTCTTCAGGTTTGTCATTCTGTAATTATTTCTTCATTAGAATGAAGTGCTGAAAGCCATATTTCGAAATGCTAATTCTTATACAATTTTTTGAATGAAGTGCTGCAAGCCATATTTCGAAATGCTAATTCTTATACAATTTTTTGAGTACGCTACCGCGCTTAGATTCTGGTGACTGGGGAGCTCCTATAGCAAGCTCTAATGTGACTGGGTCTACAGCATATAATAATTGGCTAAGCTTCCCTTAAAATATTGTTTAATTGTACACGGTGATTTACTGTTTTACTAGTAGTTCTGACAAGAGCTGTTCTTGAAAAAGAGCCGTTTCTGTCAGACCGTCTCAGCCCCACCTGCCTCACAGGGTGTCTGTTGTGGGGAGGGGCAGGGAAAGGAGTTTGTTAGCCGCTCTGAGACATCTTTGGGTAGTGAAGGGAGGGGTATAAATCCAATCTCTTCTTCTTTTACCTCACAGGGTGTCTGTAGTGGGGAGGGGAAGGGAAAGGAGTTTGTAAGCTGCTCTGAGACCCCTTTGGGTAGTGAAGGGTTTTACCTCACAGGGTGTCTGTTGTGGGGAGGGGAAGGGAAAGGAGTTTGTAAGCCGCTCTGAGACCCCTTTGGGTAGTGAAGGGCGGGGTATAAATCCAATCTCTTCTTCTTTTACCTCACAGGGTGTCTGTTGTGGGGAGGGGAAGGGAAAGGGAAAGGAGTTTTTCAGCCGCTCTGAGACTCCTTTGGGGAGTGAAGGGCGCAGTATAAATCCAATCTCCTCTTCTTCTTCTTCTTCTTCCTCTTCTTCCTCTTCTTCTTCCTCTTCTTCCGAAAGCTTATTCCCAGAATTAAACTTTGTCGGTCTTAAAGGTGCCCCTGGACTCAATTTCCCCCCTGCTGCTTCAGATCAACACGGCCTCCCACCCGAAAACCTGTTGTGGTTGATGTGAACCTTTTCACCCCTCTTAGGATAATGGGAGTGGAATCAACCCTCTGCTCCACTTGGCAAGCCAGACGCCAGCTCAGCTGAGGTTTGGGCAGCCGTTTCCAGTGCGCCCACTATCGCACCCAGAGCCAGCTTTGCTTTGCACAGGCTGCCCATTCTTGGGACTTCAGTCATGCTGCTTCCTGCTAGCCGGGCATTATCAGTCTCTCTCATTCTGCTCTGTCTTCCTCTCAGGCTCTCCAATGAACTGCTTCTGGATCCCCAGCAAACCCTGGTCTTCAAAGTGTGGCACAAAGCAGGTATTCTCAGCACGCAGTGCCTCCCATATTGTCAATCCCTGGCAGACCTGAGCTGCCCTTCTACCTTCTGTTTGGTGCTGGTTCCTTTTTTTTTAATGTGGCAGTGGGTTGTTTGAAATTGCTCTTAACGGCTAAGAACCTCAGACGTGCCCTGCTGGATCAGACCAGTGAGGGTCCCTCTAGTCCAGCCTCCCGTCTCACACAGTGGCCAACCAGTTCCTCTGGAGGGCCAGCAACAGGGCAGAGAGGCTGAGGCCTTTCCCTGGTAAGAACCCCAGAAGAGCCCTGCTGGGTCAGACCAGGGAGGGTCCATCCAGTCCAGCCTCCTGTCTCACACGGTGGCCGACCAGTTCCTCCGGAGGGCCAACAACAGGGCAGAGGGGCCTTCCCCTGAGAAGAACCTCAGAAGAGCCCTGCTGGGTCAGACCATGGAGGGTCCATCCAGTCCAGCCTCCTGTCTCACACAGTGGCCAGCCAGTTCCTCTGGAGGGCCAACAACAGGGCAGAGAGGCCAAGTCCTTCCCCTGATAAGAACCCCAGAAGAGCCCTGCTGGATCAGACCAGTGAGGGTCCATCTAGTCCAGCATCCTGTCTCACACAGGGGCCAACCAGTTCCTCTGGGGGGCCAAAAACAGGGCAGAGAGGCCGAGGTCTTCCCCTGAGAAGAACCTCCAAAGAGCCCTGCTGGATCAGACCAGAGAGGGGCCATCCAATCCAGCATCCTGTCTCACACAGGGGCCAACCAGTTCCTCTGAAGGGTCAAAAACAGGGCAGAGAGGCCGAGGCCTTCCCCTGATAAGAACCTCAGAAGAGCCCTGCTGGGTCAGACCAGTGAGGGTCCATCTAGTCCAACATCCCGTCTCACAGGGGGGCCAGCCAGTTCCTCTGGAGGCCCAACAACAGGCCAAGGCCTTCCCCCGATAAGATTTTCAGAACAGCCCTGATGGATCAGACCAGTAGTCCACCTAGTCCACCGCCTACTCCACCATCTCGTCTCACAGAGTGGCCAACCAGTTCTTGTGGAGGGCCAGAAACAGGGCACAGAGGCCGAGGCCTTCCCCTGACGTTGTGTCCTGGCTCTGGGATTCAGAAGATTAGTGCCTCTGAGCATGGAGGTTCCCTTTAGTCACCATGGCTAGTAGAGTGTATAGGCTGCCGCTTATACCTTTGGGCACATGAATTACATTTGGCCGGATCCTTCTAACTAGGCTCGATTCATCTGGAATCTCTGGAATCAGTTCAGACTAAGGTTCCCAACGTAGTTCCTGTGGGTGCCATGGCCACCGTCGACACCTTTTCTGGCAACTGCCAAGTGTTTTTCAAAAGTGGGCAGGACCAGCAAGGCTTCTCATCGGCTACTGGAGATTTGATTGGCTGTGCAGATTTTTTTTTTTTTAAAAAAACATTGCTTCAGCCACAGCACAAGGCTCTTTACTGTGTGACTGAAGGTAAATTGTGCCACCATCTTGTGGCTGGCTCCACCTCCCGTGGCAGCTATTTTGTGGCTTTGCCCACCACACTGTTTCAGGATTTCAAAGGTACCCACAGGCTCAAAAAGGTTGGGGATCTCTGGTTCAGATCATAGTTGTTTGCTGCGGTTCGCCCTCTTTAAGGGCAGGCTGGGGGCCTGGGCTTTAAAAAGAAGAAGAGGAGAAGAGATTGGATTTATAACCCGCCCGTCACTACCTGAAGGAGTCTCAGAGCGACTTACAATCTCCTTTCCCTTCCCCTCCCCACAACAGACAACCTATGTGGTAGGTGAGGCTGAGAGAGCTCTTTCGAGGACTGCCCTTGAGAGAATAGCTCCGAGAGAACTTGTGACTGACCCAAGGCCGTCCCAGCAGCTGCATGTGGAGCAGTGGGGAATCAAACCCGATCTCCCAGATTACAGTCCGTGTTCCACTGGCTCTTTGGACAGTTACGTAAACGCTCACAATTTTTTTTTTACTGTGACAAGAGAGCCAGTTTGGTGTAGTGGTTAAGTGCGCGGACTCTAATCTGGGAGAACCAGGTTTGATTCCCCACTCCTCCACTTGCACCTGGCTGGATGACCTTGGGCAAGCCGTAGTTCTGACAAGAGCTCTCCCAGCCCCACCTACCTCACAGGGTGTCTGTTGTGGGGAGGGGAAGGGGAAGGAGTTTGTAAGCCGCTCTGAGACACCTTCGGGTAGTGAAGGGCGGGGTATAAATCCAATCTCTTCTTCTTCTTCTTCTTCTTCTACACGGGTGTCAGTGTCAACCAGCGTTTCCCAGCCGACATGCCGTTTGTGTTCCGCTTTCTCCACAGACGTTGAGCGCGTGATAGGCTTCGCGTCGGTCGATCTCTCCCCCCTCCTCTCGGGCTTCCAGTTAGTCTGCGGCTGGTACAACATCACGGATTTCAGCGGGCAGTGCCAAGGACAGCTCAAAGTGGCCGTCTCTCCCCTTGAAAGTATCCTTCATCTCAAAGAAGAAAGGCAGGCAAGAAGCAGGTCGAAGGCCCCAGGTTCAGCTGTACGTGTCTTTCCTGGTTTTCTCGATTTGGGTTCTGATCACTTTGTCTGATAGGGATGACTGGAAATTCCACATCAGAAGGTCTAATTCATCTTCCATGTTTATTAATATTCTATATTAGATGCTTGCGGGGTGGGGGGAGTTACAGATGTTAGACGTTCCTGTTTCTTCTCTCTCACTTGTTGTGACTTCTGATCAAGGTCGAATGCAAGAAGCTGCCTTACGCTGCATCAGTTAATTTACATCAGCCCAGTATTGTTCTTGGCTCAGACAGATGTATTCCCTGGTTCTTTTCTCAGCGGAGAGTGGCCCTGCACGAGCTACAGCTCTTCAGTATTACGTTAAGGGCAGGGGGCTGTGGCTCAGTGGCAGAGCCTCTGCCTGGCACGCAGAAGGTCCCAGGTTCAATCCCCGGCATCTCCATTTAGAAAGGACCAGGCAGTAGGTGATACGAAAGACCTCAGCTGGAGACTCTGGAGAGCCATGGAGAGAAGCCATGCAGAAGGTCCCAGGTTCAATCCCCGGCATCTCCATTTAGAAAGGACCAGGCAGTAGGTGATGCGAAAGACCTCACCTGGAGACCCTGGAGAGCCATGGAGAGAAACCATAGCTCAGTGGTAGAGCCACTGAGTCCCAGGTTCAATCCCCAGCATCTCCAGTTAGAAAGGACCAGGCAGTAGGGGATGGGAAAGACCTCAGTGGCTCAGTAGTAGAGCATCCACTTGGCATACAGAAGGTCCCCAGGTTCAGTCCCCAGCATCTCCAGTTAGAAAGGATTAGGTGATAGGTGATGTGAAAGACCTCAGTGGCTCAGTGGTGATGTGAAAGCCCTCTGCCTGAGACCCCGGAGAGCCATGGAGAGGGGCTGTGGCTCAGTTGTAGAGCATCTGCTTGGCACGCAGAAGGTCCCAGATTCAGTCCCCGGCATCTCCAGTTAGAAAGGATTAGGTGATAGGTGATGTGAAAGACCTCAGCCTGAGACCCTGGAGAGGACCAGTCGGTAGGTGATACGAAAGACCTTTCTTTGCCTGGGACCCTGGAGTGCTGCTGCCAGTCCGAGTAGACAATACTGACCTTGATGGAGCAAGGGTCTGACTCAGCAGAAGGCGGCTTCATGTGTCCACGTGCTTTTTTGGAGGCTGTTTTCTCAGGCCCCCTCACACAAGGCTGCCTTGCAGTGAGTCAGACTTTTGGTTTATCAAGGTCAGTGTTGCCTACTCAGACAGGCTCCCTAAGGCCTCAGGGGAAGGTCTTCTACATCATCTGCTATCTAACTTGCTAGCCAGTTTGGTGTAGTGGTTAAGTGCACGGACTCTCATCTGGGAGAACCGGGTTTGATTCCCCACTCCTCCAAATGCACCTGCTGGATGACCTTGGGCAAGCCGTAGCTCTGTCAGAGCCGTTCTTGAAAAAGAGCAGTTTCTGTTCACAGCTCTCTCAGCCCCACCGACCTCCCAGGATGTCTGTTGTGGGGAGGAGATGACGGTGTTTGAAGCCGGAAAATAGCAGAGTTGTTTGTTGTAGAATATTTACAGTTTATTTACAGTATATACATACACAGCTTGTAGCAAATCAGGATTTTGACCAACGCAGTGCTACGCATAACAGCCGTAACCATATAGGCAGTGCTCGACTAAGAACCAATTACAATATATACATGT